CTGTGAAAGCAGTGCCAGGGGGGATTTTGGATTGACAGCACAGATCTGATAAATCCTATTAGATTGGAAGTTCCTTCTTCTTCTTCTTCGTCTTCGATGCCAAATGAAGCGAGGACTTTGAACGGCTCTCTTTAATTACTTAGATCTTGCTCACAACGGTTTGTTTTCTTGAACTCTGTGTGTGTCACCGTGCATCTCTTAACTATATCGTGGCTTTGTGGGTCCGAGATCAAAGTCTGGGCCTGACGCAGACTTCTAAAATCCTGTCAAAGCACTCCTTTCTAGGCTTAAACTATAATTCCTGCTTTCTGAATTTAACATTTTTCTCACAAGTTGCCTGTTTAGATGAATTGAAAAGACACTCGAAATGTCAGAAATACATCAAAATATTCATGTACGTTCAATTTCACGTTTCAAGAATCTCTTATTGAGCATTTTTGGTTGTTTTTTTAATGTCCTCATTTGTATCCTGCACTCAGTCTTGGCTTCTTTGGCATTAGAACATATCAGCTGCAGCTAATGAATGTTTATTCTGTAACGGCTTCACTTAAACTTTATCTTTTGGTTGCTGAGATCTCTCCAAGCCGCAGACTGCACGCGCTCTGCCAAAGATTGTTTGTGAGTGAAACGACACAAAACTCTGCATCATCATCGTTCTGCGGCTGCCAGTAAACTTTGTGTGTGAGTCTCAGTCAAACTTTTTAATATTCAAATCAGGGAACTTAAGTTGAGTATTTTGAGTTTATTACATTCGAAGTTCTGAATTTGAAGTTTTCGTCTGAAACATTTTATGCAAAACTCTTTTTTTTTTTTTTTTTTTCCCAGTGCATCAAATCAAACGCTGCTATTTCCAACTGCAGGAATCTTCTGTGTTAGAGCGGCCCAAACCTTTAGGCATGCTCCGACCACAAGAACCTTATCTTTCAAGCCTCTTTCAGGACTGTTTTCCTGCGTCAGCGTAGGTATTTCAGAGCAGCCCTGAAGAAACAGCTGTACAGATCTCAGTGCTGATTGGTTGGACAACAAGCACCTTGTTTTCCTGCTCTGTCAATGTCCTCGTCGAGTTGCAGTCTTTTCGTGTCCAATATCACCATCTGCAATTTCACCATACAGGCTAACACAGCAAATCAGTTTACTTCCTACATGCTCATAAAACTGGAGTTACGTCCACTAACTACTGCTTGTTGTTGTTTGGGCGCATTCAGAGTTTAAGTTGTGGTCAAAGCTGTGAGATCCTGCAGGGCGGAAGGATTTCTGGGGCGGTTCCTGCAAATGTTCATCGTGCTGTTTTGCACCAGCTGCAAGTTCCTTCAGTAGAAAGCAACCTAATATCGTCAATCTCTCATTTTCAGATTGCAGCTGCAGGTTGTGGAAGTTAATTGGAGCATCTTAATTAATTCTTATTCAATCACCTGCATAGCTATTGCTGAAAGGATTCAGGTTTCACGAAATGCAAAATTCCGACTCTTCCCCGAGAGTGGCGAAAAAAATATTTGGAAGAAAAATACAAGCAGAGGGTTAAAAACTATTCCCCAAACTTTTTTTTTTTCCACCCCAACATCTGTCAAAGTTTGCATGCTTCTTCTTCCAATTTTAGCCAAGGGTTAAAAAAAAAGAGAGAGAGGAGAGACCACGTTGTGATAAACCTTGTGAATTTTCCTTTGAGTGTTTTGATCTTTTTTCCTCAAAGCTTCTTTTCTTGCAATCCCTCTGCTTCAACATGCTGCTTTAGAGCACACTGCAGCAGTGTTGTTCTGAAGTCCAAGTCTGCCCACAGAGCAGACATTACATCTTCTCAGAGCTCCCCCTCCCCTTGTCCCCCCTTCCCAGGCTTAAGGCTGAGACAGACAGCTTTTCAGGAGGCACACCCGACCATGAAAGGCAGGGTGCATCTCAGCGTAAACAGCTTTGCTGGCAGCCCAGTCAGCAAGCCACAGTCCCGTTATTGAGTCCCAGAGACACTCCACTCAACAAAGCCACACAGTGACCTTTCAGCCTCCTACAGCAGTGCCAGATATTGAGTGAGTCCGTCCAGAGGATGAAGCTCATCTCAGACTAAATTTCAGCCCGCTGTTCTTCCCCGTCTCTGGGGTTTTTTTGGCACCACGGTTGTATTGCTGTGTTGCTCTTTCTTTGATTGATTCCCGCCGTTTTGTCGGACTAAAAGATTGGAGATCTTTGATCCCTTTATTTAAGTTTCTCATCTCGTGGAGTCTCTCGGGCAGAGTTCTACAATATAGGCTGGGTCTGTAGGTTGCCTTAATGATGATGTAGTTTTGATTGCAGGGCTGAGCTGTGATCTCAGGAGAGGGAGCATCTTTCTTCTGACAAACGCCGTTCTTAAATTCTCACTGTGCTCTCAAACTCAGCTACAAATCCTCATCTTTTTGACTTTTTTTCTGCTTCAGACGTCTGTTTACACACTATTAGATATAAGCCTCTCTGTTAAAGCTGGCATTTAGGCCTTGACCCGCAGCCACAGGGTCACACATGTAGCTCCTACTGGGTCAGCTGTTCTCCGAAGAGGCCAAGTGTCTGTGTTACATGTCATGGAGATTAGCAGGATGGCATATGACAGGTTCCTGCTCTTTAACAAGGCTGGCTGGCTCTGGCTTTTCCATTGTGTGTGTCTGGAGTTAATAGCTGGATATTTTGGCGGAGCTGCTGTGTTTTAGGTGATGTCATTAAAGCCCTCCGTCTGCTTGTTTTGTGATGGATGAAATGAATCAGGCACTTATTTCAGTAAGTTTATGCGGCATACAGTCATACTTTAACCTAATAAGGACCAACTGATAATACTGCGCAGTCACGGTCATAATAATAAGAATTAATTTACTTTTCTTTTTACTTTCTTCTTTCTTCTTTGTTTTACTTTTACTTTTTAAATTTTCTTGCATGTGCACATCTGTTTTTGTTTTTTGTGTGTTTTCCCTGAAATATCTGTTTTTTTTGTTTCTTGCATTTTATCCCTCAGAAAAACACAATTCTGAATTTTCTAATGCTGACCTTAAAGTTTTTCGATGTAAGCAGAAAAAAGGGGTTTACAAAAGTAAACTCGAGGGAGCTCTGGGCCTGGAAAGAGCTGCAGGTTTGACCTTTTCGGTTTTTGTGAGATAAAGACGGTCCCCAGGAATTTCCGGGCGAAAGTTTAGAAAGTTGAAAAGTCAGAGAGAGAGTCGACGTTCCCCCGCTGCTTCTTTATTCACAGACCTTGACACTTCTGTTCATTCACACTGTTTGAGAGGGAAAACGTGTTAATTGCTTTCCTCTGTCGGAGGCCGTTTAAATTCATCGCTAACCTGTCTTCACGTGTATATTTGTGTCCTACGTTTCTCCATATTTATGTGCTCAGGAACTTGTCTACATTACAAAAATATATTTGTGTCCTCACAAACAAGCCGATATGTTTGGCTGATTTGATGTCAGCTGACGTATGAAGTGTGATCACGACTGCTCAGTAGTTGCAGGTTAATTGAACAATGTGTAATTACACAATTTATTTTTAATTAATTGTTAATCCTCGACCTTCACATGCTTTCCTTGCTCACAGCTGTGTCACATCATTTTACTCAATAAGTAAATAAAGTAGAATATTGTAGTTTGATTTATGCAATTAGGCTCTCTTCATTTGCTTTTAGGACTTACATAAAGATCTAATGATATTGTAGGGTTGTTGTTTTTTTTTTTTTTTTGATTCAGTCAACCTTTATTTAAACCCTGGCTGCATTAAGAATCATTTACAGTGTAGCTGAGTAAGAAAATCAAAGATAGAGGCACACAAATAGATAATAAAGCAGTAAAAAGCAAAGTTTGGGGGAACAAATGAATAGAAAACAAATGAATTAACTAAAATACGATGGAATTAAAAACCTAAATTGCCCAAAAATCAGTCTGGCTTTAGACCGTCCCAAAGGTGTTTTTTGCAGAAATATAGAAAATTTCAAAGGGTTTAGAAAATTTCAAGCACCCTGTACTTATTATTTCAATAGTATTTAGTTCAGTTGTGTTGCCTCAGATTGACTGATCTCTGGACATTCGGTCCCAATCAGTGACGAATATTGTGAATATTCGGTGGTGGCGGGTGAGTGTTTCTTCTGATGGGCGGCGCTCAGGTTCTGATGGGCTGGAGTGGGCGTGACGCACAGGCCGCATGTTTAGGTTAGCGGTTAGGTTCGGAGTTCAAGTTTGATATTCTGACTCCAGCACAGCCAACAAATAGTCGGCTGTTCGGCTATTCGGGTCCAGCCCTACAGAATAAAGCAAAAGCAAACTGTTCTTATTTCTATGTTTAAACTCACAGGCGAGAGTTCAAGATCGAACAACAGGAGTAAATCAAATGTACGAGGATTACCGTGTGTGTGACGGTGGATCAGACATATTGGAAACACATAAATCATAAATCGCTGTAGACGCCGAGAGAAACTCAAAATGGCCTAAAATTGAAAAACGTTTTAATATTTAATAGCTGAACATTTTAGACTCCATTACATGTAGTGCAGTTGTCGACAAAGTTGTTGTGAGTGTGTGTGTTCAGCGTAGCATGAGAAAGTTCCACTGAAGGCAGCATTGTTTGATGTGAGCACCAGCGGCCTGCAGCAGACAATAGCAGTGCAGCCGTTGACTGATACCAGGCCGCTGGGGGGAGGCGGGGTGGTGGTGGTGCTGCTCACCGTTCACCACTAGTCTTTGTTCATTGTTATGAATAATACATCAGAGGCACATTAGTTTGATTCATATTGCTGTTGGCTCTGCTCGAAGCTTGCTCTCGGCTCTGCCCTCACTTATCACGTTTTTTTGCGTTTTATCTGGGTTGAGTGTATCTGGGTTGCTTTTGCCAGTGTCAACAGTGCATTTGATCAATTCACGGACAGAGCGCGCCGGACTTTAAAGAACTTCATCCTGCGGGCCATTTCCGCCTGCGCTCGTGGAACCAGGTCACTTGTTCACAATGGACCTCTCACGCTCATCCATCAAACCTCCCCTCTTTTCTGTCTCCCCAGTAACCGGCTAACCCCGAGCAACCACGACCGGATACAGAGGCTGAGGCAGGAGTTCCAGCAGGCCCAGAATGTCCCCGATGACCCCGACGATCGCAGGAGGACCTACAGCTTCGAGCAGCCCTGGGTGAGTGTCTGAAATGACCGGAGCCTGTAAACACAAAACCCACTGCCGGCCAGAGAAGATGGCCGAGACTGTCCGACTGTTAATGTCAAGAAACGACCTCCGCCAGACCGGGACCCGAGTCCTAGCCTGAGGGGGGCGGTGTTAGCACCTGTGGCTAACTGGAGTACGGTGCTAACCATCACTAACCCCCCACCCCACTACTACCAGCCGTGAACAAGAACGACGATCCTCTCCACACTTCAGGATCTCCATTAACCTCCGTGGGCCTTCCTGGCTAACTGTGCTAATGCTAACACCCACCCCTTTGTCCGACCGTCTGCATGCAGGAGCCCTCACACCTCCTGACAAACCATCACTAACCCCACCCGCCTGTCACAACCCACTGCACTCATCCATCGTCCCTGTTTTCTTGTCTTGTCCGTCATCCACGTGGACCCACGCGCCAACGCACGGACTCTGGCTTGTCTTTATCATCTCACTTTTAAACTTTTAAACTGTGCCTTTTTTTTTTTTTTTTACACAGTTTCAAGTGAGGGTTCTGTGCATTTTAACTGACGTTTTATTTAATTCAGAGCTCTACTGGGTGAGATGAGGGATAATTAGTGCATTCTGAAGCAACAAGGGGCAACTCTAAGTGAATAAATCTGAATGCCTTCAAAGTTTTTTGAGGTGATGAAATCGCTTGTCACAGTTTTAGTATTTATTTTGTCCTCCCTGCTTCCCTGCACTGCACCTCAAGTGTACTTGGTTTTACAATAACAAATCATGACTCTATGAACAGGAAGCTGTAGCAGATTTTAAATCTTGCAGATAAGATTTTGCTTTTTTTTTTTTTTTTTATTGTTAGTATCATCTCAGTGTTTATCATATTGTTGTTTTACACACTGAATGAGTACATTTCCACACTTTCTCTTGTCAGGTGCGAGACGACACACGTTGTTGTTGATTTCACACATATTCTGTCACGACATATTATAATGCATCACATCATTGCATATTATTTTTTAATAATATATGCTAATAATATCTGAACCGCCCTTGTTAGCTGTTTATCTATATGAGGTGTTTGGTTTTTTTTGTATATGTCTGTATGAACTCTTTTTACTGCTGGTGTCTACAGTTCAGTTTCCCACCAGAACTTTGCTCAGTCTTTGGTGTGCACTGGGAACATTTGGTCCTGTGATTTATAATTGAAATGAAATGATAAAGTGAGAGCTCATGAACAGAATCAGTGCTCTGGCCTTTTCTTTTCCTGCTAATAAGCCCAATAAAAGTCTCTGGCATTATTTTGCATTCGGCGGTGTTGACCAAGAGTCCTGCGTTTTAATGGGATCGATGGACCGGCGTGCATTCCTGCCGGCATTGTACAGCGGAAGCAGGACCGTGTGGGAAAGGAGAGCGTAGGTCACCTCTTCCTTTGTCTCAGAACAACTGAGCGCGCTCTCAATTAAAGAGCTGGACGGTGCTCCAGCATACTGTTTGTTCGCATCAATCGCAGCGTGCTTGCTATTGTCATCCAGTTCATTTTCCCATGAAATCTCAGTATTAGTTAATGCACAATCCAAAAATGAGATTCCAAGGAGTTCAACTACTCACCAGATGAATAAATTCATAAAAGAAACTCTACACATGAAATATGTAAAGCTTAATTAGTCTGAATATAAATCTGAAAACTGTACATTGTTGCAGGAACCCTCTTTCGTTCCACAGCGGTTTCAGTCTGCAGAACCCTCTAATGGTGTCGCTGAATCCCTTTTGTCAGAGTGCAGCTCACACTCAGGCTTTCTATAGTAATTGCATGTTATTAGACTCATGCCCCGGCCATACTGGTGGGCCATATGGAAAACAGGAGAACGTGCCTTTGAAATTCAATTACCTTCCCCTGTGCATATATTACGTTTTGTTGCTTCATCTGAGTGGTGTGCTGCAAACCTCAAGGTGCTGGTGTCCTTTTTTTTTTCTCCTAATTCACCTACAGCTGGCCCACTTCACATGGAGGAGCAGGGCTACATGTGAGATTTGCAGTCGTAGAAAATGTACTGCATGATGTGGACACGTGTCACATAGACTTTAATTTGTTCACCATGAGTAGATTTAGCAAAAAATCTAACATTGAAACATGAGACAAATAATCTTTGCAATATTAAATTCACAGATTTTGCGAAACGTTTCAGGTCCAAGCAAAAAGGGCAAATATAACATGAAAATCAGTTTGTTTGTTTTTTTGTATTTTTGGACATTTATTGACTAAATAATTCCTTGATTAATGTGAAAAACAGAGAAATAAATCAATATTAAAAATGATTGTGACTGGCAGTCCTAATCCGTCCTCTCCTCAGACTGGGTGGTAATTGAACACAGGAGCCCATGTTAGAGTCGTGCCGTACCAATTAGACAGATACCTCTGAGCAGCCATATGGAAGCACTAACCATGTTGTTTTGCACCTTTAAGCCAGGCCTGGACTCTAAACCTCCAGCTCCTAACATCACACTGCCGGTCATTATGGCTAAAACTGTCACGTTTTTGCTCTCCGTCCTACAATTCTTTGTTTTCATTTTCCCAATGATCTGTTTTCCTTGTTGTCCATATTTAGCCACATGGTCAATATCACACATCGTAATTTTCTAGGGGATCCCTCTTCTTCTTTCTCATCATAGTTTTGGGGGAAGCAGAGGAGGATTGTGGGTAACACGGTCTAATTCCATCAAGGATGACTGATGCCCACTCTCCCAGCAGCATCGCGCCGAGCTTTATTGCGCTCATTTATACCACTATGGAAAAAGAGGAGTTCTTTCAATTGATGTTTGGAGGGGGTTTTCAGAAAGGGCATATTATTGCCTCTTGTATTTTACTGTAACATTTTAATGCTGCTATTATCTGGCTTCCTTGAGGGTATTTTCCACTCCCTTCTGCAATCACAGGGTTCAGGCAGATGAGCCAACATTCCCAGGAATGTTCCACTCTCCTAAAGACACCAGGGATTTTAATTCCTTTCTTTTTTTTCCTTGAGTGAAAAATATTGCGACTGTAATTCACCCGCCGGCAATTTTCGATTCAGATATGGAATCATTGTAGGCGCTCGCCCTCCCTCCCTCGCCGTCGGCAACGAGGCGATGGCAGCCAGTCCCGGAGATGATTGCCCCAGCTTCATTTGGTTTAAAGGGGAGTCTCTTTAGCGCTCTTAATCGTTTTATGGCCTTCCCACCAACGGATGTCCACAGAGCTCCCACCAGGCTCTCACTGCGATGCAAAGCCATAAAGGTAATTAGATTGGCTTTGTGTTGCAACTAATCTGCGCGCAATTATTGCACCCACACTGCTAATGAACACTGGAGGGGCAAGAAGGAGTTTCGGTACAAATGTGGGCTGCACCTTGAGGTGGAGGTCTGTCGCTGAGAGAGATGTGTGTGTGTTTGCACGCTTGTGTGTGAGAACCAAACTTGGACTCAGACGGTGGAGACATTCTGCAGCGTCCTCCTGCTTTTTAAAGGGCTGTTTTGTATGAAGCTACTCTCTGGTTGAGTTTAGTGTAAATACGTGGGTACGGCATGCACTTCAGAGACTGGGGTTAAACGGTGAATATCCTTCAAACAAACCAAATAACACCACTTTTTTTTCACACTTTTCCAACTTCTGAACTAATGTGTTGCATCTGTCGTTGTTAGAACTTTAAAAATCTCACAGTTTAACTTTGCTGAGCTATGAGCCCCATTTACAGGTTGGAGAAAGTGTGCTGGGTTTGAGCTCCTCTCTGAAGTTTGCAGCTACTTCCATTACCTTCAGTGAGTGCCTTTAAGGACACAGCGTGTGAAAGTGTGCCGTTATCCTGACTTGAACTGTGAATTTCTGCGAGACAACAGTGAACTAGGACATGGAGCTCTCAGAGGAAGATCAGGGAGGAAATGGGATGCAGCCAGGGAGAGGACATGACAGCAGGCCTCACTTCGGTTATGGCTGTGGAGAATCCGGTATTAACACACTGTGCAACTGCTCAGGCTGAGGAATGCATTATGTCAGTCTCACAATATAGAAGCAAAAATGTGTATCTGTGTGAATAAAAGATGCAACGCTATATTTTATTGAACTCTTGGGAGGGCGTTAATGAAATGAATGTGCCACCATAACATCTGCTACAGCCGGACAACCTGTACTGTGATGTACGGGTGTTTAGAGGGGGGGGCTGTCACAGTGTTGTCTTTTTTCATTAACACCCACTAACATCCATCTCATCTCATCACCATAACAACCCTTCTCTGAGTCTCCAGCATGGCCCCCCGTCTCACCTCCCCTCCCCCCCTGTCTGTCTGTGTCTCACCTTCACTTTGACCTGAAAGGAGACGAGCTCAGGGTGTGTCTGCCCGACTAGCTGCTGGTAAGTGTCTGTGGTTTGGACTTGGTTGGGTGGAGGGAGGGAGGGAGGGAGGGCTGAGGGGAGATTTTGTGAGGTATCCAGTGTCGGCGACGGCTGCTGCTTTTATTAGGCTACTGTGTGGAAACCCAGACTCCAGTTGTGGTGATTTTCATGCTTTGACTTTCAACAGAGGAATCCTGGTTTTTTTTTTATTTTGCATTTTCTAAGTCCAATGTCTTGGAAATTTTACATTTGTAGTGTTTTTTGTATGACCGTACTGTTGTAGGACCCTCATGCCAATCTTTAAAGTCAGCCTTTAGATGCACTTTTATTTAGATGTAACACTAATTTCTAATAAGACTATCTGAGACCCATCACAAGGAAAACAGTTCCATGTTTTACAGGTTGTTGTCTAAAACTATATTTTCGTTTGACTGTAGACTGTATAGAAAGTGGAAAAACCATGTGTACCTGACTCAACCTAACACCCGACGAATACAAATAAAAGCAAAGAGGTGGCGCTTAATCGATCAGTCAGAGCAGCCCAACCCTTGTTAGGCATAACTTCAAGCTTTAATACAGTTAAAACGGTTGAGTTATGTAAAAATCCATCCTCAGTGCAGTTGTCATGAATGAGGAAATGAGACATAAAGACCAGAACAGTTTTTTGCACTAGTTTGTAAACATGCTTCTTTTTTTTTCTGTTGGACATTTTAATGTAAAGATCTGTGACGATTGACTCACTTCTGGAGCCAGTGGCCATCTGAGGAACTGCTGTGTCCTTCTTTGGGTTTATTTTGCAGCTCCACAAGTTTTTGACATGGACAAATGCACAGGTTTCATAGGTTTCACAGGTTTCATAGGTTTCACAGGCTTCATAGGTCATACAGCATGAAACTCGCCACATGTCGTAGTAAAGCAGCAGCAGTTGTACACAGAGACTTCAGTGTATTGGATGGACTGTTGGAATATTATTACATCGTTACTATAGATCCTAGTTGTTATCCCATATTGTGTTATAGTACCCCATATAAATAGTACTGAAGGTTATTATTAATGGAAATATTTAAGATCCAAGGAGCAGTTCTACAAAATAGTCTGTGCGGCCTAATTCACATGAAAAAAGAAAGTTCTTTGACTGACTTCAGAGTGTTAGCACCTCCAACATCTCCCATTCATACATCTATTCTGCATTAGCGCTGCAGGAACATCATGAATGTTTAACTGAACACAGAAAAGTCATCAGTATTTATTTGACTGTGGGAGTGTGAAGCTCCCAGTCGTCCCAGAGTTAAATCAGCTTTTACAAGAGAACAAGCAGCTCTCTGGTGAACACGACGTTACTGTCACAACAGAACACCGAGCAAGTTGCTCTGTCACCAGAACACGCCTTGTACATTCAGCGTGTTTTGTTCATGTTAGAGGCACAATAAAGCCGTTCTGCACCTATTTATTTCTGTCAGAACATATGTCGTATGAACTGCTTTATATCCCTACATTTATCCAAGGACAGGATATTTTTATATTTGCGTTTATAGAATGTCCTGCACTCAGATCAGTGTAGTCAGAACAACTATACTGAGTGCAGTCATTGTGGATCTTGAAAGAGTTCTACGTATTATTTGTCCACCCAGTATAGATTTCCACTGATTTCACGAGTCGCCTGTGTAAATTATGATCATTTCATAGCAGATAAATGCATGAATGAATGAACAGAAAGCCCCTGTTGACCATGATCACACCGACTATGACTTCTAACTGAGCTGCCGTCTTTGCTGTCTCCAGTCAAACACCAGCAGCAACGGTCCGGGCGGGTACAGCCAGCCGGGTCGCCACTCGGTGTCGGTGGAGGTCCAGATGCAAAGACAGAGGCAGGAGGAGAGGGACTCCTTCGCTCAGGCTCAGCGACAGTACAGCTCGCTGCCACGGTAAGAGTGACGGACGGTCAGTACGTGCCAGGAGATTTCTGCATGTCCGTCTAATATGAAACGTGTCCAGGAGGTCGTGATCTGTAATTTACCGCGATGCGCCTCCAGCATTGACGAGTGAGCGCACGCCTGTCTGATTATGTCAGATTCATTGTAATGGCCTTGTGACAGTAATGATGGCAGATTACATATATGTAGCATCTGACTAAGAAAAAAGGGCCATAGCGGGCCAGTTTGAGACCACAAACGTACGCAGACACACACTCAGTGTCAGGATGGACAGATCATGTTACCCTCTCACACAGATCTGACATGATTGCCTTCCTCTCCCTTAATGTAATTCCCTTTGATCTGCATGATATGGCTGCCTCTTGTTCCAGGAAGTGCTGGGGTGTGGTTGTCTGTTTTTTATTATTTTTATTGTAATTTGATCAGTTTTGGGTATTGTTTGGGTTTTGTTTTTGGTCAAATTTAATCTGGGTGCATTTTAAAATAGGCAGTGTATACGAAGGTGGAGACAGACGGCCGCCCTCGGCGTGGTTGAGTCGGAGGCTTCTTCCTGCTTAAACTCAGTTTATCCTCCTCACTGTGAGGTCTTTTCTTTACTTTCAAAAGTGACCTGAAATGTCTTTTTTATGATTTGGTGCTTGATAGCTAACATTAATTGGGACAGCCTGGTCACCTCAGTGAATCAGATTTAGTTGATTTTTTTAAAAAGTGAAACCTCACATTCACAAATGAGCCTCGATTCAAATGTTTAAGCGCTGCTGCTTCTTATTCCATCAAAGTTTCAAAGTCAGATCTTCAGCCGCTTCCTAATTAAGCTCATGGCTATTGAGAGTCAAAATTCTATATTATGGAAAAAATCTTTAAGTGCACAGACTCTTTTAAAAACCATAAAATTTACAGTTTTATAGCTTTAAAATCACTTTATTAAGTTAACTACTTAAAGAAAAAGGCTTTTCTGTCGCTGTTGGCCTGCAGATTCCATTTGTTTAACTTTTATTTGCAAAAATGTCCTCTCCTGTCCACATTTCCTCCTCATCATCCTGTTTTACAAGAAATCGTTTACTTTAACCAGAAATCGCTTTATTAGGTTAACTACTGACAAGCTGGCTTTGTTGTCCAGCTGTTGGGCTGCAGAGCCCATTCATTTAAACCTGATTTGCAAAAATGGCCTCTTCATTCACATTTCCTCCATGTCATCCTGTTTTTATAAAGAATTATTTGCTTTAAGTCCTAATGTTTTGCATTTCGAAGCAGCGTACAAACATTGACTAAATGGTTTATGGCACATATGATGTTGATGTTCTCAGATTATTAATGTACACTATTTGTCAACAGAACTTCTATGAGTATGTGATTATACCTGCTGACTATGTTTTAGATATTGCTTTTTTTAAATAAAACAAAAAACCAAGTGTACTGTCGTTGGGAGGTAGCACAACGCAGCATCTAAATCCATCTGCAACAAAACTTTACGGCAGCAGTGGGGCAGTAACAGTGACAGACAGCGCTGATAGATTTGATGCTGGAAACACACACCGGTGCACTCGTGAGAATGGATCTTTTGAATATATTTTTTTAAGTCTTTGGTATTTCCAGGAGGAAACATTATTTGCAGAAGTCTGTGTAAATACCCATTCAGACAGATTCTCTACGAGGCCAAACCGAGCAGACACGTCCTGGTGCATGTCGTCTTGCACTTACCATACATATACAACATTAAATACATTATCTTCTATTACTTCACCATCGTACTCTAATCCACTGTTATCGACGTAAATCCCTTCCTTGATAAATATTGCAGGCAGCTTTGCTGAAAGATTAATGAACTACCGTCACGCTCCAGCGGTCAGAGGCAACATCCTGTGGCCACATCCCTTCACTTTTCCACTAATTCCATTAATAAACTGCTCTGTTTGGATAAACCCGGCTGCAGTATCTTGAGAACACCAACTATTGTTTGACTTAGAGCATACCATTGTGTGAAGTCAGGCTGAGACGGAGTAAATGTAGCATTGAGGAGATCGCAGCCTTGATGGGATTCATGTGCTCCTGTGTCGTTCATGGAGGATGAATTTCCTCATGAGGGCATCACTCTGGATTGTGAGTGGAGCTGTGATTAATGGCAGCAGCATTCCCTAAAAACCGGCTTTCATTTTAGATAAAGGTCAGTTCCCTTCTGGGGGAGACCCTTTCCTAAACAAGGAGCTGTGAGTGAAAATAAACCGCTGCCATTTGAAACAATGACGATGAGTGAAGGGCCCTCATATTCATCATCGAAGAACACCATTGATCTCGGAGCCAAAGTGATGCCATTATGGGAGACCAGAGGCTGGCTGCAACAGCTGCAGTGGCATTTGGTCCTACCGGTGTGTGTGTTTGTGTGTCACCGGTCTATCTGCCCCGGCGCTCCAACCTCTCGGTGTCGCTTTTTTTTCTCTCAATCTCACTCTGTCACCTTTTCCCCTCTCTGTTTTTTTATCATCTGTCATGCTTCACTGTGTGCATGAACAGAATACAGAACAGTATACATCTTTCTGTATTTACCACACATGTACATGCTCCCCCCCTTGGCACGGCATCAGACAGAGGCAGCGATCTGGTTTGCATTTCTCAGCGGGGAGGTAGACCGGCTTTGGCCTCTTTGTCAACATATGAAATGAAATCAGATGCCGGGGACGCCTGTCTCTGAAAATTGGAATCACTCAAGCGTGTGCAAGAATAAACCTGAGCTATATTCTCCTATCTCACCGATCGAGGAGCGTATCCATTCCCAATTGCATTCAATCTCTGTTGAATAAAAACAAAGGTCTTTTCTGTTCTCATTAAGGATTTTTTTTCTCCCCTTCCTACTCAAATCCAAACACGGGAATAATACGATTTCTTCACAGCTGGCTGATAAACCTGCTAATTATGCATGGCTCAGAGTCAAAAGCCCATTGATGTTTTTGTGTGTCTTCTTCTTCTATGTCCCTGCTCTCGTTTTGCCTTGCCCTCGAGATAAACGGGTGGAGCTGTTGGGCTCGGGATACTCATGCATATCGTATAGACACACACACACACACTCAGAGCTGCCACAAAGAGGCCAGCCAAGCAGAAATGAGAGGTGATGTCACACATCTGGATTTTTTTCTCGGCCTTTCTGGTAAAGGGCAGGGCAGCCCCCCAGAATCATGACAACCAACCGTGCCTTTAAGACACTCTGTGTCAGGTGTCACATATCAGCCCGGCTGAATCCGTAGAGGACAAGATGGTCGCCTCATTTTTCTAACTGCAAAAGGTCTGCTATTACTGTCTGTCAGATCCAATGGTTGTTTCAGTCTGTCTCGAAATGGACCTAATGGGCTGGAAGGGGACTTTGACATGGTTAGGTATCCCTGTATGTTGTTGCTGTGGGTTGGTAGTTGCCCAGAGGCAGTTTGTGAGGCAGTAATGGTGCCTCATTTTCATCGAATGTGATGTCTTGGCCACTGTGCCACTGACAGCATTTTCTCCGTCTCTACCAATCATGCTCCAGCCCAACTAGAGCAGTTAGTGGCTAATGCAATATGGGTTTTCAGGTTGCAGATTTGTGCATGTTATGTAAGATAATGGTCAATAAAAAAAAGGACTCGCTGACCTCTATTACACCTTCTTATGCAGCCTTAAAACAAAAACTCCCAAATGGCACTAAAAATAGAAGCTAGATTTCTTTGTTTCATGCTGTCAATCCCTAAAACACTGAACTCAAATTCTGTGTGCTGAAAATCTCTGGACATAAAGGAAGAAATCCAAACAGTCTATTTGCTTCAACCATCCTTCACTGGATGCACTTTGCTCAGTATGAGAGGATTGTGTTTTAGTCCTGATCAGAGGCCGTCAGCTGAAGAAGGCTATGAGATGTAGTCAGAAGCTCCAGGAAAACTCCTAGAAAGCAGACTTTGAGTTACTAGCAGCATGCCAAATGATGGCATTTCTGAGTAGATAAATGTATTCTAAAAATGATTACATATGCCAAGTTGCCATCTTCAGTTATTTTCAGACTGCATATGCTGACTTCACTGTGAGTTTGTAAACAGAGGGAGTAAAAAACGAGGCCTATAGCTAAATAAATCATGGATATGTCAAAGCAAACTAAAAATAATTTCACATTTCCCTTTACTACATTTTTCTCTCTGCATCAGGCAACCCAGGAAGAACCCCAGCTCCATCTCCCAGGACTCCTGGGATAAGGCGTACCCACCCGGTGAGGGCTTCCAGACGGCCAAGGACAACCCCAGGTACTCCAGCTACCAGGGCTCCAGGAACGGCTACCCAGGAGGCGGCAGCGTCAATGCCAGAGTCCTTCTGGAGGCCCAGGAGCTCCTGAGGCAGGAGCAGAGACGGCGAGAGCAGGAAGCCAAAGGGAAGCTAATGCAGGAGAGCACCGGCAACAGCAGCTACGACGGGTACCACCTGAAGGACCCGGCCTCTCCGAAGGGTCCATACCGCCACGACGTGCCACCTTCACCTTCGCAGTTGGCGAGGCTGAACAGATTGGGGTCAGAGAAAGGCAGACTTTTTTATTCCTGAGGAGTGCCGATGGACTGATGGAGCAAGAAGAACTTCAAGAGCTAAGGGGATTACCTTGAAGAAACAGCTAAAGCGGACGCTGCAAATCTTGACAAAGGACAACCTAGAGGTCTTATAGCTTAGCGATGATGTTAGAGGTAAACAGTTGTGAAGTGTACTCAGTATGTGGGTGTTTGTGTTCAATCCCCCGCTGTGCCGATGACCTATACAAGTTGTCAGTCAGTCACTCACCCTCCTACAGACATGAGATGCTCAGTGCCTTCTCTGCATTCACGATGCTTGTTCACAGTCGTCCAGGACTCTGATTCATCGAGATCTGGCACCGTCATGTACTGACAATCAAATGGGCAGACAGGCAAAGTGAGTGGGCGCTTTTTTTTTTTCTTTTTTTTTTTTTTTTTTGAGCCCACGGGGAGGCGTAAGTTCTGTGTGGGTTTGTGTGTGGGCATGTGACAAGGTACATGTTTCACTATCAAGTACGCATGTCCCGTGGATGACTCTCCCCACCTGTCACAAATCACCCTTTCGTTAACATTCAGTCCCTGCCGATGCTGCCGGTGTTTTCTCCGTATTCTGTTTTTCTTTACTTTTCAGTCTTTTCTCCGTAGCAATGGAAGCCTCTCAGTATTCTCCCGGGAGCGGAAAAAACAAGGCAAAGTGTGTGTAAGAAAGCAGGGCACAGCGAGTGTGTGTGTGTGTGTGTGTGTGTGTTATTAATAAAAAAGCCCCCCCTCATAAATGATTCATATTGTGTGTTATCTCCGCGGAGGAGACTCAGGCAGGGAAGGTAGACAGCTCTGATCCTCTGCCTGGCCCCTCTGCACGGCTCTGGGCTTGACTCGCTGGCCCGCCTGCCTGTCTGTCTGGAGCTCACATCCTCCTCTCGCTGCTCTCGTCGCCTCTGTTCATTACGCTCCTTTCTTCTACCTCAGCAGCCCCCCCACCTTCATCCTCCTCTTCTCTTTTCGCTCACCTTTCTCTCATCTCACCCCTTCCCCTTACTCTTCCTCCCGCTACCCACTACTAACCCTCTCCTCCTCATCATCATCCTCCTCCTCCTCCTCCTCCTTGTCTCCCGAGTCAGGCTCTGCACTGAATTTTTCATCACAAGCCACCTGCTGCCTGCCAGAGAGCCAAAGAACGCTGCCACCAGAGGCACCGACAGAGGGCCCAGCTTCTGACATAAAGAGTTGAATAAAAAAGCAAAAAAAAAAAAAAAAGAGACAGAATAAAGATGGGTGGAGAGACAATAAGCCTCCCAGTGTGAGATTAGTTAAAGCTTTTCTCCCGTTTTTAACAAAAGGCAAAATTGTCCTCAGGAGTTAATTGCTTTCAATTGCTATAATTGCTTTTTGTATTTTTACCTTTTTAAGCGTTTTGCCGGCACTCTTCTGCAGAGTGATTTAAAAAGAGGGAGCAGTCGGGGTGCTATCTTGCTTTTGAAAAAACAGCAGTTGATGGATGAAATGAGTGCTGTTGGCTTTTAAAGGGTACGTTGAACAAAATCACACAAAAAAAAAACAAAAAACATATTTTCCATCTTACCTCCAGTAATAATGCAGATCATTTGGATATTATTTGCCCAGGTTTTGAGATGTCTGCCTCTGAGTTTGCCTCTGCCATCCGCTCTGCAATTGAAGTAAATGGAATTTGAAATGTGGTTTTCCACAACAATGACAAGTACTTTGGTTTCTTTTAACGTTTTTCTTCCAAAGAAATAGTTTGGATCAATACAGTTAAAAAATAATTCTCGTTGTGGCTATTGAGCCTCTATGGATCATGCTGACTTTGCATTCTTTATTGTAGTGAAATGGAAACATGGAGTCACGTTTAACAGCATCACGGCAAAAAAAAAATGTGCAAATTCCCTGCAGATGTGCAAAACTGAAAGGTTTTTACAGTGTCACATGTAAACAAACTAGAAGACGGAGATAGAAGGTTGTCTAGCAAGTTGCCCCAGATAGAGAGCCATGGGGGAGTTTGCAGATGAACTGGCAGTGTGTTGTTGGAGCTGCCTTCACACGCCAGAAAGTTGCACAACAAAGTTCAAATCAAATCAATGCTAAAATATTGACAACAAATACTTTCATGGTTGCCCTACGGTAGCTAGCCAGCTGGAAATGCTCGCAACACCAGTCGTAATATTTCTTTGTTTTCTCTGGCTTACTTACTCTCTGTTAGCTGGCTTGTTAGCGTAGCACTTAGCAAACAGAAGTATACACAGTTAATCAGCTAGCTGGTCCAATGCAACCATAGACTGGATATAAAAGATGGACGTAGCCTCCAGGTACGAAAAGTGAAGCCAATGCTGAAGTGTCTCAAACCTGCATTTTGTCCAACTGCCAGCAGGCGGCGACTCCTCTGGTTGGTATAAGAAGTCTGGTTGTATTGAAATCTGTGAGAAAAATATCCCACTTCTCCTTTGATCTGTTACCTGAGCTAGCATTTTTCCAACATGTTTATGGTCTAAATCACTAGTTTGAAAATCATGGTGTGTGTTTTGTCCCTTACTCGTTACATCAGGTTTCAAAAGAGCAACACGAGGCTTTGAAACTGTCGTCCACAAACTAACAGGTGACGTAACATCTTTTATATACAGTCTATAGATGCAACTTGTCAGCCACTATAGCTTCCTCCCCTTCCGACTCACCGGCTCTGCGTTAACTCAGTGGATGGTCAATCTATTGATAAAGTTGATTTTGTTGAAATGATTTAATTCCACTGGGGTGACTGAGTCTTTTTAAATGCTGCACGGACTACCAGTTAAATTGCATTGATCTCTGCTGTATCAGGATGGAAATAATCTGAAAACCTGGAAAAATTCATCCAGAACCACGTGTATGAGGTAAAAATGTCTCTTTGGAAGTTGGGTGAAGCAGACTTGGAATCTGAGTAAATGACGCCGGTGGCTTGTGCATTTCTGACCTATTTACATTTTCATTCCAGTCCAACTCTACAGCTCCTGATTGGCAGCTTTTTCACCCAGAGAGGAGGAACTAATCAGTGAAACTCGCTGCTATTGTTGTAGGTTGCAAAGAAGAGCTCGGGCGTTGATGACACATGTTTAAAAAAAAATAAAATCACTGCCATCAGCCCACCACTATAATTGCTGCAGTAGGAGGCAAGCGATCCACTTACTCTGAACCTTCTTTGACAACACTAACGTTCATGACGTAAACGCGTCTGCCCGCGAGCAAACAAGCGAGGCCGAGCCGAGGTCGAACTTTGAACAAAAGGGAAGTGCGAGAAATAATAATAAATAATAAAAGCTGTGGAAAACAAACAGGCGGTGCGTAATTGCCCTTCACTTCTACACACTTTACATACGCAGAGTGAAGCTGCATGACATACATTATCTCCTGTTGGTTAATGAAGACCCTCGCTGGGAAAAGATGCACGCTTTGCAGGGGTGATGAATGACGAACGAAGATGAAGAAAAAAGAAAATTTCCGAGGTATTATTCCAGTGTATAAACTTGTATTTTAACCTTAGGAAGAGTTCGCAGTATTTGTCAGCTTGACGCTAATTAAAAACTCCCTTCTGCATTATATATGTACATGGGTTTAACAACACAAACACACTGAGGTGCCTTGTTATGTGTTTTTAAACCTACATGAGAATGAAGCTGATGAAAACCAAATAAGATTCAAGCTGTGCAGGTGAGAGGAAAGTTTTTAGTAAAGGTTCCTGCTGTGAACACGAGTGCGTGTCAAAATGCAGACGAGCACATTTAGAAGGATGTATTTGACCTGTGTGTTCTGTTCCGGGGTCTGGTATCGACAAGTGCCTGAGAAAATATCATATTTTAGACAAAGAGGGACACCATGTGATTTCTTTGTCAGTGACACTTCAGTGTTATTTTTAATATCATCATATGAAATGTGTCATTTCTGGGGTACTCCTTCCTCGACCTTTTTTTAAAAAAAAAAAATTTATTCACAAGAGCCAACACTTGGTTATAAGCGGTTATCAGTGTATTTGTATCCTGTTTGACATTGCCTTCAACCATGCTGTACCATGACGTGTTTTATCAAAAAAAGAAAAAAGAAATGAAATGGAAGTTAATGGAAGCTGATGTGCAATTGTTTTGTTGTTGTTTTTTTCCAGAAAACTTTTACATGATATATTAAGAAATGTATACAGCCACTTTTCCTGTACATATCAAATTTAGAATAAAACGGAAGGCTGTTCCATCCTGTTTACAACCTCGCCTGCCTCTGCCTGTCCTACCTTTTTTCTTTCCTCAGCCCGCGGCTTTGAACTGCGATCGGACGAGTCTTTCAATTAAGCACGAGGGATTCTGCTGTCAGATGTCAAATCTGTCAGTTCTGACGTCTTCTTCGGAGACAAACCGTGAGTTTGACGGATACAAAAGAGACAACATGTGATGAAATCATTCATTCCTGTGGGAGGGGGAAGCGATGCAGCAGCTGACGGACAAACACAACAGTGACCAACATTGGGCGGCCGTGCAGCAACGCTCTCCTCCAGTGTAACCGATCTGGTGAATGCACTGATTCAATCTGTCCGAACGCCGCCTTGCTTCCTGTTATTAAGTCCAGCTTCGTTCCCATTGTCCCTCACAGGGGACGTGTTGAGCGGCTCCCTGCTTCTGTTTTCCTTCTAAAGGCCAAAGGTGATGTCCTAACAAAATACAATTAATGCTACTTAAGACAACCGGCTGAGTGTTGAGAGAAGCTGAGATATGAGAAGAGAGGAAAAAGACATGGAAGCCGCTCAATCCCTGCACCTCATCCTGTGCTTTCATCCTTCAGTCTTCTTGGTATCGACTTGCATGTCATGTGTCGCCGAGCCACGGTCAGACTCAAACCACAGGAGGGATTTTATTATATTAAACTTTTTTTTCTTCTTTTGAAATTTTGAGTCACAGACGGTCGATAACAACCTTCAGTCTGTTTCCTTTAAGGATCACACAGGAAACCCACATGAATGCACACACTCTCTCAGGTTTGCATTAGCGAGGACATTTGGCACTCACAAGTGTGGATTTACAAGAACACAGGATGCTGTTTCAGCTGTCTCCACGCTGGTATTCAGATACAGCGGAGATATGGAACATGCACAGCGCTCCTCCGTGGGTTTACTGCAGTTCATGTGAGACCACTCAGAACCAGTAGGCGCATCTGGGCTTTAGATCTTGCAGGCCTGCCAACCTGTACACATTTTGCAAAGACGGTACACAATTTTGACAATAAAATGCACAAAAAGCTGGAGAGGCCTTGAGTTTGACCAGTTGTGCAGAACTCTTATCAACTCCAGCAGGTTTTCTAGCCTGTGAAACCTTCATGATCTCCAGTGTGTTGGTAAAACTCCTGTTGTTTTCCAGTCTTATTTTTTATTGTAAAGGATTATGACCTTGTTATTTCATAGTCACACATCATATATACAAAATTGCATCCTTTGCAGTTTAATAATAACCTTGTCTCAAACTGTGATAAATAACATATATTACCTAAACTGGTCTGAGTAGCCAAAAGCTGCCTGTGCGTCCCACCACTTCCAGCACCCAGAAGTCCGCTGGCTGTCCAGGGGCGAGGCGTTGAACTTAAATAAGAAATGGCCACAGTCCTCTCTGAGACTAACTCCCTGGATGCAGAACTGTTTGACAATGAAATGTGGCTGCACAGAGCATCAGCTGCTGGAGCTGTCATGTGATCAGACGCTGAGAAAGAGATGTGGGGAGGTCAGCCTTTCCCTCTTCTGGTGCAGCGATGTGATGGCTGAGTATCCACCCCTCACCACTCCTGCAGGTAAAACAATCGTAGCATTCAGCTCAACCTGTTGCTGTGACAGTAGCTTCTCCACCTTGGTCCAGCTCAGGTCAGAGCAGAGGAACAGGTTGGACTCTGAGCATGATCTGAGAGCAGCTCTGTCTGCTGTCAGCCAGATTCTGAAGCTCTGATCAGGAGTAGAGCACGAGCCCAACTGTCTCATTAACATCAACAAATGACCTGATTAGGCCAAAACTTTATTTTAGAGTAGTTTTGATATTTATTTTATTCACTTTTGTACATGCAGTGGTCATGGTCCTCCTTAGTTTCTGATTAATTTGCTCAAAATGGAGTGAAAACATGTTGATTTGTGGCATTTTTTATTTTGTTCAGTTCTGTACATGCAGTTGTCACGGTCCAGTTACTGTGCATGGTGCACAGGAAACTATATTGAATATTGAATTCTAAAAAAAAAGTGGGTCACGACTTAATGACCATGGGAACATGTGGGTCCCAGGGTGAGACCAGTTGAGAACCTCTGCCCTAGACAGACCCTTGAGGGCATTAGAAGACGACATAGTGTTTTTCCATCATTTTAAAATGACTGCTTTTCATGAACTCTGATTTTTATGCAGCACTGCAGAACAGAATTTGTTTTTAATCCAAATGTGTGGTTCAAGCAAACAGTTTTTACACGATTACTTTACATTTGTTACGTGTTTTTTTCTGAACTCAAAGCTCCACCTGTTGACTTGCTCGTCTTGAAAACCTAAAATCTTCAGATCTACGTCCAAATTTGATTAGTTCAACTTATTGTCTTGCAGTTTGAGAAAATAGCCTTTCTTCTGATAAAAGACACAGATTTTGTTTTGTCATTCAGCGTAACGCTGATCAAAGAAGCAATCAGTTCATAATATGTTTTTGCCGTAACGTCCGTGATCCAATAATTAAGGAGTTATTTCTCTTGGCTGCGTGAAACACAACCAGTCTTTTACGTTTTGCCATCATGAGCTCCACTGGAGCAGTTGGACTTCAAGCACCTCACTGAAAAATCCTTTTTAGGAAAGAAAGCTCTGATCTCTTCCCAATAAGCCTCCTCGAAAAGGTGATCCTCCTCGTGCAACCTTCATCTGGTTCAGCTCTCTGCCAAAAGCTACACAATGAGATCCAAAAACATCTGCGAACGACGAGAATGGCAGCTCTCCAACGCAAGAATTAACCTCAATTAAATCATATCTCTATTAACGGTAAACATCAGGCTAATGTGTTGCGGCATAAAAGCTTTCATCGCAGCATCATAGTCACAACACTTGGCCAGGTTTTTCAAAATGCCTGTGGAAGAATATAAATAGTCTGCACGAGTGTTGGTGCTGTTATGCTAAATATAAGAAGTAGCATCTCTCAGAAACCGGTGTAACAGCGGGAATAAAATCAACCCATAAAAGTACCACAAATGAAAAACCACATACATACTGAAAAACTAAATTTCCATTTAAATGATGCTTTAACTATTTAAAATAAAAACGCTGCCAGTTAATTATTCTAATCTCTTATTCTGCCTTTAAACAAAATAGTAATTGAATTTTAAAATAAAATAGCGTTACAGAAAGGTTGTTTCATTATTTCACCTTGTATTTCACGCACTGATGTGTCTGCCTATCAAATTTAATCACACAATTAATTTGTTTTCTGCTGTTTATTGGTTCCATTTTGTGCCTTAATTTAATTAAACGAAGTCCAACCCGAAGAGCAGCAGGGGCCCAGGTTGGCCAGCTGGTGTGTGCTGGTAGGGTGAGGCCAACGGGAATTAATAATGCTTTTATTCCTTTTTTTTTAAATGCATATTTTAAATGCTAATATAATTAATCAGTTTTAAATGTATGAGTTAATTGTTTGGTGTTAATTGAACAGTGAAAAGTTTGTGATTACTTCTGCGGCACCGCTTAGATTCCACATGTAGCTGTTGTTCTGTAACACGCTGCTGGAGGCCAGTAAACTGTATCTTCTGTATTTATTTCTCATCCTCCTTTAGCGGCTCTACAACATTTTAATGCGCTTCACGTCACCCCCAGAGCAATGTCACGGATCATTTCAACCGCAGCCCTCTCTGTCAACAGAGAGCCACAACAAGAGG